GCAGTGCTTCAATTATACTTAAAATTTGTCAGCATTTGTATTCATGTGATGATGACATGGGAGACACAGTAGCTGCTCGAGATAAGAGCTTGATATTTTTGTTTAGTTAACAGAAATTTTGATACAGCCAGACAGTGACAGATAGTTAACAGATTCCTTCATGTTCTGCTCTATGATTTCCATTCCATTCATGTGTAGACACTGAGGTGATGGAAATGTCATTATTCTTAAATATAGTGGCCTCAAAAAGCATTTGGACATTTATGCATTTCAAAACAATTCATAGATTTGGTTTGAAATTATAAAACAATAAATATACAGTTTCAACTTAAAAAAAAAAAAGTATTTGGACACTTCTGGTTGTCAAATGTAAACATACATGGTTAATGTGATTTATTACAATTCTACTAAGGTCTATGTCAGATTATAACAAGAGTTTTTGCACTCATGCTGAAATGCAGTGAGTGAATGACTATAAAGGAAGTGCTTTTTGCAAGCTTTCTGTATACATCCCATTCACGATTTGGATAAATGTTTTGGACCAACAGTCAAATTATGCTCTGCCAAGTTTTGGGAATGACAACTGCATTTCAACACTGGAGTGAATCCGCTAAATTGTCTTTCCGTGAGTCACTTACGAAATTGCAATGATTGACACTGACACAGTGATAACCACTATTGTAGTGATCGCAACGGACGGGACAAAAAAAAATTCAAAATATGTCAAATAGATTTGTGCATTTTATTACTTTATTACTGACTTTTCACTTGACCTTCTTAAAACCATGTTTATTTAACTGTGAAATTGTGAAATACTACGTGTTTTAATGTATTATATTAGAATTAACAGTAATTTAAATACATTTTTTATTTTTACATAATTAAATAAAAACCTTAAATAGTTAAAAGGAGTGTGTTCAAATAGTTCAAATCGATCATGGTACTTTTGTCACAGATATAATGACATAAGACATGGAATTTTGTCACAGATATAATTAAAAAATGAAATTAAGCAAAGAAATTGAAGTTGGCCTAATTAAACTACCTAGGGTTTAATACAATTTAGGTGTCTTAGTGTTGCTTAAGTGTACAAATACTGTAATGATTAAAATGCATGCTTAGCAACCAGAAAATAGAGATACAAATTAAAAATAATGAAATGAAACTAGAAAAAAAAACAGAAACTAAAAAAAAGAAACCTTTGGTTCAGACAAACTGAATAGTTTCTGAGACTTGATTCTGTTAGTGGGGTCTACAGCCCGGAGCAGTTTCTAGAGCAGGAGTGATGTGCGTATGCATGTGTGCGTTTGTACTGTCAAGATATCCATAAAAAAGCATAAAATGTCAACATGATGGAGAACTTTGTTTGGCAACTTTCACCAAGGTCACCAACAGACATGTTGTATCAGTAAATCAGTTATCCTGTCAGAAATGAATTCATTTGGCTGTTGTCTTCTCTTGACTTAAGGGAACCTTTAAGCAGAAGTTTACCATGAAGACCTCAGCTCAGATCATATAACAACTGTTTTGCATAACAGCTCACAACACACCTCAGGAGATCACGGAATTACATTTTTTAAAGAATGAATCAAATCTGGGTTTCATAATTTTTGTTCCTACGATTTGTTTCATGTGTGCGAGCAGAAGCTTCAATTCATAGAGAATGAGCCCTCAAGCAAATTCTTGCCCAAGGGAATGTCCTCTTCAGATGGGGAAATTGATATAGTATGGAATCTGTGGATTTATTATAAGGCAATTCTTTAGTTAATGTAACATGCAAAACACATGCCATTATTCAGCACACCAAAGAATCATTTGCACTATTGGATTTAACTGTGAGATGAGTTATGATAATCCCCGTTGACCTATGAACCATAAATGTTTCTAGGAAGAAAAGAGAAAGACAAACATTATTCACACGCATATAAACAGAAAAAAAGAAAGTTATAACAGAAAGGTATGTATTCTGCTAATGGTGTATTTGCCTATGACATATATCTTTGCTTATTTTACCACTGTTTTTATGCAGCAGTGCATAGATTCCATGGCATATAGTATATATGTCCATGCCAGTCGAGCACCAGCTGTGGCAGGTGAAAGTATAGGGATGAAGAACTTGTTCTACTTTGTACCATCTGCTTCAAAAGTAGAACACTCAGTCTTACAAAACATAACAATAAAGCAAATTTAAGGAAAGCTGGCTTTTGGTTGAAAACTCTACACCCTCTCACTGATGTAATTATGCAAATTACCAACTGCTTATTTTACCATTTGGAAATGCTCAGTGCTTTCTTTTTGGCCCATGTATATGGAGATTTTGTGACTGTTTTCTGCCCAGACAGCAATTTACAATTACTGACCTCTCCTAGGAAACTGAAATACACCTTAAAATATAAATTTAATTATTCTATAGAATATCATTCTCTGTATATGTATGTGTATATATATATATATATATATATATACTCTTCTGGGGCTGCAGTCACTACAGCTGTCCTCGTTTACATTTATTAATTTAGCAGATGCAAAGCAATTTACAAATGAAAAATGTCTGTCTCATAATATGCACCTCTGATATGAATATGAATATTATATTTAAAGCTGTCCTCTCCTCCATTATATTCCACAGTAAGCTGTTCAGTTATTTGATTTAAAATAAAAGTGGAAAATTCATTCAAAGGATATGACAAAGACATTTTTGTTGTTGTTGTTGTTTTTGGCCTAGATTTGGCCTACAGCCATACATAAAAAAGGATGTAGTCAGACAGATGAGACCACAATCAATGAAACAAAACAAAACAAAACAGCAACAAAACAAAACAAACACAAAATAAAAGTCAGTCTACAAAGACATCAATCTGTTTCACACAGGTGCACATTGCCTCTGCTCTGTGAGGGGGGATTTGTTACGGCAACAGGTCAGTAATTACTGATTATCACAAATGTACATTTGTGTTTGACTAATTTGCTTTGTGTTGACTTATTTTGCTAGATCTATGCTCAATATCCATTCATCAACCACACTGTTTCCTGCAGCCTTGGGGCAGAATTATTGCTCAACAGTATAATGTGATTAAAATCTATAAATCTTCTGTTACACCTGCTGCCTGTTGTTTGGCACACACCTGTCCTTCAAACAGAATCTGCCAAAACAATGTGTTCGAGATGCTTCTGCTATATTCCAGGAACAGATTTTATGACCAGTCAATAACAGTCAGTATTGGATCCATTTACTGACTTCCAAGAAAACTACAAAGTTGTAGTCCTGACTTGTCTTTTTAATTATCTTAGATAAATAACAATTATGGGGTGGAAAAAAACATGACGATCCTATTAATTTTCAACATCATGTTTTTTGAATGTGCCTTGGAATTTTAAAATATTAAGAATATACAATGGGACATGAATAGTTATCCAGGGGTCAGCAACTAGTCCACAGTGTTACTACAGAGGGTCCGACATTTACTGTTATTTAAAATATCCAAGATTTAACTAATTTTTGTTAAAAAAAGCTAAAAAGCTCAAATTCAGATTGTTCCTCCCACATTTAAATGTATTATGTGCTATAAAATTAAAATGTTTTATACAAGTATGACTCATCATACGTGAACATAAACAATGTTTTTTTCAGTAAGTTTGGGGTCAGTAAGAATTTTTAAAAAATAAATTAATACTTATATTCAGCAAGGATGCATTAAATTGATTAAAAGTGACAGCAGAAACATTGATAATGTTACACAAGATAGCTTTCAAATAAATGCACAACTGTTTTTAACACTGATAATGTTTCTTGAGCACCAAATGAGCATATTAGAATGATTTCTGAAGGATCATGTGACACTGAAGACTGGAGTAATGACTGCTGAAAATTCAGCTTTGCCATTACAGGAATAAATTAAATTTTAAAACATATTCAAACATAAAACAGTTATTTTAAATTGTAATAATATTTCACAATATTGCTGTTATTACTGTATTTTTGACTAAATAAATGCAGCCTGTGTGAGTGTAATAGACTTCTTTCACAAACATTACAAAAACAAAAACCTTGACAACCCTAAACTTTTGGAAGGTAGTGTAAATATATTAATAGCTTAAAATGCAGTTCCCTTTCATATGGTCACAGAGGGTCTAGCAGAACCGCTGATTAATGTTTGGGCATTACATGGGTAACTGTAGGGGGCTAAACAGACCTACTATTTAAAGCATATTAAATAGTATTAGCCACAAACCTCTCCCATTGCATTGACACACTTATAGGAGGGAACTCCTGATACTGAAACTGAAGCCTGATTTGTTCATGTTTGTGTTGCTGCAATGGCGCTTCAACTCGCCAAAAGTGGGGTAGCCGACTATATAAGTCGGCTCTGAGCGAATTTTTCTCCTCCAGCGATGAAGATCATCTCGCTGACTTTGCAAGCAAGAAGCCGAAGAAGGAAGAAGCTCAGCTCCGCCTGCTGTTTGCCGCCGTAAAGGTGCCCCCTGCATGATGCAGATGGGCGCACTGAGTGCGTCGCCTGTCTGGGCTGCGCGAGGCTGCGCTCACTGAGATGGCATGCTCTCACTGCCAGAGCATGAGTCTCGCCCTTCTCCGCTCGTGGATCACCTTCTTTAACGAAACAGCGGAGCAGCTGGGTTTTAACACTGGGCTTGAGTGAACTCACACCAGCGCAGCCCCTGCGTGCTTCACCCTCCCCCCAAAGCTTTGATTCGCCGATGTGCTTCGCATGTCAGGATCAGCACCCCTCGTCGGCTGCGAGCAGCTTGATTTCTTTTAGCACATCTGAGGAGGAAGCTCCCGTGGATGACTCCATGTCATTAATAGCTTCGGATCCTGAAGAGTGGCCCCGTGAAACCCCGCCTCTGATGCAGACAACACGGCCCAGTGTGGACAGCAAGCTGATCCACGTTCTATCAAGGCCTCCTTGATGAGTGGTACCTGAAGGGATGCCGTCAACATTCCTCTCGCCAATGGCCCGCTCCGTTCCTGCTGGAAGTTCATGAGGAACTCACCAGGACGTGGCGCACCCCCTACTCAGCCCGTGTTAATCCCTCTACTTCCACCGCTCTCACCACTGTTGACGGGGCTGCAGAAAAGAGGTTATCGAAAGCTCCCCCCTCTGGAAGAGGTGATCACTGCGCATCTGTGCCCTTCATCGGCCCAGGGGCTGAAAGCCCATGCAGTGCATCCATCTAAGCCCTGCAGGACTACCTCAGCCCTAGCAAACAGGGCTTATTCCGCAGTTGGCCAGACTGGCTCAGTGCTTCACAAGATGGCGGTGCTTCAAGTGTTCCAGTCCAAACTTCTCCGCACCATGGACGAGTCCAGCCAGAGTTCTGATGCCTTTAGAGAACTGCGCACAGCGACTGACCTGGCTCTGCGCACTACTAAGGCCACTGCGCAGGCGAACGGCAAGGCGATGGCCAATTTGGTGGTGCTGGAGTGCCACCTTTGGCTGAATTTGACAGAGATCAGGGACTCTGACAAGGTCGCCTTCTTACACTCGCCTATCTCTCCTAAGGTACTCTTTGGCCCTACCATGGATGGGCCACCTCAGCCTAAACCTGAGCCTGGGCCCCGGATGGTGAAACGCTACCCGTTTCCGAAGCACCAAGGTCCCCGACCCAGAGTGACGTTGAGCCTCAGAAGCCGTCCTGATCTGAATGCAGAGAGGAAGAGGAGAGGGTCAATTCTCGCTGAGGCCGGAACTCCCTCAAAGAAAGTTTGCGCTCGCTCCCCATCCCTCCACTTAACACTGAGCGAAGGAAGATCCATTCAAGTTGGGCCCGTCCTTCTCACTCAGTGCGTGCCCAAGCAAACTTCCGCTGTGATAGCGGACCAACATACTCAAAAGAGCATTTCTCTTCTCCTCATTACCATGAATGTCAGTTCCCCGTCCCCCTGCCGCAAACTTCCATTCGGAAAACTAGAATCACTTGCCATCTAGTCTCAGGCTAGGAAAGCTATGGAAACAGTTCCTCTAGTGAACAGAGAGTCAGGATTTTACAGATGCTACTTCCTCGTTCCCAAGAAAGATGGCGGGGTCAGACCCATTCTCGATCTCAGACATCTGAACTGCTAGCTTATGAGACGGCCGTTCAAGATGTTAACTTTGAAACAGATCCTCGCGCAAGTATGTCCCGAGGACTGGTTTCTTTCAGTGGATCTGAAAGATGCTTACTTTCACATCCAGATAGCCCCCCATCACAGACTGTTCTTGAGATTCACATTCAAGGGAGTGGCCTATCAGTACACAGTCCTGCCATTCGGACTGTCCCTGGCCCCGAAAAAAAAAAACCTTCCTGCTGGCCTTAAAAAGGCACAATGTCCTGGTCCGTTCGGACAACATGACGGTGGTAGCCTTTATCAATCACCAAGGTGGTCCCAGGTCACGCTCCCTTCACAGGTTGGCTCGACACCTTCTATGGGCATAAGGCAAACTCCTGTCACTGAGAGCAGTTCATGTGCCGGGCAAACTGAACCAGGGGGCAGACATGCTGTCCAGGGACAAGGTAGCTCCAGGGGAATGGAGACTACATCTCCAAATGGTTTAAATTATTTGGTCTGTCTTTGGGAGGGCAGAGGTGGACCTCTTTGCCTCAGAAGACAACTTTCACTGTCCAATCAACTTTTTGAGACAATGAGATGCCCTGGCCCACAATTGGCCCAGCACTCACCTGTACGCCTTCCCCGCGGTTGCCCTGCTTCCTCAGGTCATTAGACGGGTCAGGCAAGTCAGATGCTCAGTCCTCCTGGTGGCCCCACTCTGGAGGAATCAGATGTGGTTCCCCGAGTTGATTCAGCTGCTATCGGTAGCCCCTTGGCCGATACCACTGAGGGAGGACCTTCTCTCGCAAGCAACGGGCATGATTTGGCATCCCCAGCCAGAGCTGTGGAACCTTCATGTTTGGCCCCTCGACGGGAGTCTTTGCAGCTCCCCGCGAGTGTAACTAATACCATTTTGGAGGCTAGAGCTCAGTCTACAAGACATCTTTAATCTTCTCTGACTGGTGTGCAGCACGGAACAAGGACTCGTCCTCTTGTGGCATGTCCCACATCCTTTCTACAAGAGCTGCTGGATAAGGGGCACACCCCTTCCACGCTCAAAGTGTATGTGGCAGCTATCACGGTGAATAATTCTTTCATGGCTGGCCAATCAGTTGGCAGAAACAACTTAGTTGTTAAGAATCTGAGGGGAGCTCGGAGATTGAATCTGCCTCGCCCTTATACTGTGCCAACATGGGACTTGTCTAAAAGTCCTCAGGGCCCTACGGGGCCATCCCTTTAAGCCGCTCCAGTTAGCCAACTTGCAGCCCCTGTCACTTAAGACGTTTACCTTCACCAGGTTTTATAACTTGGATGTCTCTGCACTGCAGGCACGGATTTTGTCCACTTAATATCAGGCTTCAGTATTAGAGTAAACAGGAGTTCCCCCGGCATAAGCGTGTCAACGCAATGGTCGTTCCCTTACATTAGTAACTTTACCGAGGTTACATTAGTAACCAAAGCTTTTTCTATTAAAAAAAGAAAAAAAGAAGCCCCATCATGGGCTTAAACATTTTACCATCAATTTACCATGGTATAGCCATTGTACTGTTTTGTAAGGGTTATCACTCTTAGCCTTAGGATTTAGTCAAATCCTGATAACAAATATGCTTATTCATTCTTTAAGCCATAACATTAAAGCTGATGAATCCTTAGAACAACCAAAAATAGGGTAAAATTCATAGTATGACTTTGCAGTGTTAGTGTGGGAGAGGGTTATGTCAAGGATGAGATTAAATTGGGTGCATTCCAGCTAGTTCTGTGCAGTGTTGATAGCGTAAACTCTAAACAGACATGAACAAATACATCACGACAATGACGTGTTTCGGGGGAAGGGGCAGATGAACTGAAATCGAACTGTTAAAAGGTGATGACAGAACTGATAAGCTTCAAGCTTTATGGCTGTTGATTTTTCTGTGTTAATACATTGTATTTAAATGAGGGGCACTGGATGAGACTAACCCCCCTAAAGGGCAATGTACCCTGCTGCCAACTACTACAACGCCAAAACCAAAACAGCAACCACGCGCTGCACTGTTATTAGCTAAACAGTATTGACTGATTAGCAATGTTTAGTAAACTCAACGTGAAGATGTCAGGCAGAGAGATGAAGCTCTGATTCACTGAATCAGGCAGAAGAAAAGACCATCCAGTTCCAGGTTACTGTTGCGTGTAAATAGTCTTACACACTTCAGACGCATGCTATGACGAGACAAAGGATAAAGATGCCGTCCTTGAATTATTGGAGCTCATAAGCACAGCTAACCTTCTCTTACAAAGTCACATTAATGTACTTTGACCTAATTAATTTGAATGCCACTTAAATACTCATTTCTGCTTGGTCTATCTCTCTTTCTCTTTCTCTCTCTCTCACTCAGACACACACACACACACTATGCCAATTAAATACTCATTTACTCATTTAATTACTCTCTCTCTCTCTCTCTCTCTCTCTCACACACACACACACACACACAATTATATTTAAAATATTACAACATCTAAAGATTGGAACATGCAAAAGTTTTATAAAAACATAGGACAAGTATTTTATTAATGTATTTAATAAAAATAAAATTGACTTCTAAAGATTTGAACATGCAAAAGCTTTTTAAAACACATAGGACAAGTATTTTAATTAATGTATTTAATAAAAATAGAAAAGTTTTGAAAAAATTAACATTATGAAGACTAGACATTAATTATATAACATAATTAATATAATAATATAATTTCAAAATTCAGTTTAAATTGTACATATTTGATTCAGTTCAACTGCTTTGATTCAAACTGAATCGTTGTTCCATGAATTTACCCAGACAATGATTCTAAGAAAGACAAGCAATCCATATAATCTGAACACTGACTAAATCAGGAAAAAAACAATAGTCTGTTAAAACACACATGCCAAGAAAAGGTACAATTTTATTCCTCTTGGTCCTTAAAGGAAAAGAAGTCCGATTTATGAGAGGGGAAAGAAGCCATTATCCATTGATTGCATTCAACAAGATGTTCATCAAGAGGAAGAAAAATGTAAACAGAAGACAACAATTATTCCACATCTGTGGTCCAAATTCCATCCCAACATGAAAGCATCCATTCTTTTGGATTGTTCCAAATGAAACTAGCCTCTGTATATATCTGAGGAGCACCGTGCTCTAAATGAACTGACATGTACCAGGGCTTATATAGAATATTTAGTGAAAATAGTGTTGAGAGACAACAAACACTTTAGTGTAATGGACTGTTCTGTGTTATTTCCCCCTAAAATATTTGACATGTCAACATGACAAAAACAAAACTCCATGAGTGTTAAGAGGCATTTGGCCCCAACTCTGCTGGCTGCTGGTTTCAAACATCATGGCTGTTTATTAGTTTCAACAGCTAACAGCTGAGATGTTTCATAAGCAAATACAATGTCCCACAGATGCATCACCACATCCTTGAGTATCAGGCTTATGGCTGATGTTGGAACTTCAACCCCTGATATTCATCTAATCATCTGATCTGATCTTTGCAGCTGGTTTGAAGTGAAACATACAGCAAGCCAGTGCGATATCCTCGTTGTATGTCTGCTGCCGCTGGCCTTTTTTGTGGAATCAATATTCTCTGGATAAAGTCAATGATATTAAGATTCATTGGACCATAATGTGTTTGTAGATCTGGAATTTAAACCTCTTTGCATGAATTTTAATTAAATTAACCTATGAAGCCATCAGGAGAATATCGAATAAGAGGGATAAACTTAATCAGCCAGTTTGTTATTTAACAAAGTATTGTATGTGAAAACCATCTGAATGGGAAAATACTAACCATTTATTGCTTTTACTACATAAAATGATCTAGAAAAATAGCTAAAAATGTAGAACATATCAATGGAAATATAATTTTACTCTTAATAGACACCTTCTTATGTCTTCACCCATGCCTGTTGACCTTTAAATTATCTAACGTCATGAGTCCAGAAGCATGTATGCACTGATGCATGCTGATCAGGCTGGTATCCTCAGTGCACTTACTTAGCCTAAGGTAAGATGTGCCCCCCCATGCCTCCACAGTGGGACTGAAAAGGACTTTCCTATGGAAATAGTGCTTCTCCTACTGGAGATGTCAAGCAGATGCATGCTGCACTCATGATGGTGATTTACAATAGATATGCAATGTGACTGGAAATAAAGATAAATAAATTTAAAAAAAACAGATTTGTATGCACAGCAACTAATATGACTAATTTTATTGTATATTATTTATATGACTACTAATCTTTCATTTCTCATACAGTAGATGAGTATATGGATATATTAATAAAAAATAAGCAAAAAAATGCATCCGTATTTGAGGGTTTAGAATTCATGCGACAACAAATCTGCACATTAATTAAACTATGATATCATTGGCTTTTAACAAGAGCAATTTTGCAAATCCCAAATATATTATATGATTGAATAACATTGCTAAGTCAAAAATAGGGGGTCGTAACAAAGCCAAGACCACACTACAAGCCCTAAGGAGGCAATACACTGCCTCATTATACTGATATGGAGTTTTGCAACGACATTAGTCATTAGTCATCATGGGTAATGCAACATAAACCATTACAAATGGAAAGGATTTGCTAGGAACTGAAAGTACAAGAGAGA